GGTGTTAAAGTAATGAGAATCGTTCGCTTTCTTGGTTGAATAGCGAATAGCGATCTTATAGCAGAGCAAATGAGGCTAAGATATAGGCAACCGTTTCATGGAGCTTGAAATATTTCAGATGTTTTACATGAAATGTTGCGTTAAGAAGAGCAGAATATTATTATATTATTATAATTATTATAAGCTCAGAAATATCCTTACCGAAAACGAATCTAAAAAGATGTCATCTTCACCTTGTTGTTCTTATTATAGGTCTTTGTAATCTTATTCTAAGAACAGATTTTATAGAGGAGATTACTGTTTGCTACATTTTCAATTATTGCTTTTGACTTGTATAGTATCTGTACTAATGACATCTCTTCTTCAAATTTTTCAATCCACTCTTACATATAATTATGGAAAACCCTGGGTTAATTTTAAAATTGCGAGCAAAATACTTTTCGATCATTATAAATATGGTGGTCAGTCAGCATTGCAATATTTGTTCCCCATATTTAAAAAGGCTGTAGTATCTCTGTCCCGTGTCCACGTCACCGCTCTCCTATTGTGAAGTTATGGTTTCTCTTTGAATTGTGGGAAATTTCAGGCTGAAAAAAAAGCGTGAACAATTTGCTGCAAGCAGATATTCGTGACATAACCTCAAAATAGAGCGCTGATATGGAACAGTAGAAAACTATGAAAATCAAAGAGGCGTCTTACAATTATTGTAGGATCTACTGACGGTACGGGCCTGAGCCTGGTTCACTTTGCTACAAAATAGCTATTTACTATAAAATCGAGGAAGTAAGCACTTTTTGTTACTATTATGCATTGCTAAATAATATTTAGCACAAAAGGTTAAACCTTCAAAAGTGGATTATTATCAAAATCCTTGCATACGGCCAGTTAAGAAAGATATTTATGACATCGAAGACAGTCTGCATCGACAACTGTTAGAGCTTACTGCGAAATTCAAATGTTTCATCCTTCCTTGAACATTCCTCAAGCAAGGGTTATACTTTGCTCAAAGTCCAAGGAGAGATCAGCACTCAACCCTCAGAAAACATTTATAAATTTGACTTCAGGTGAATCACTTAGTCTATCGATTATTCAAGCTGTTCGCTTCATACTATCACTCACAGGATGTGTGCATGACTTATACAGGGTAGCCAATATATAACCGACTGATTTAAATGACGCGCCATTTTCAATACCAGCATTTCAGTAGGTGGCGCCGTAGAAGTTGTTTAAAGCAAATGTGTCCAATTCATCATGGAGCACTACACGATCCCACAACGCGCCCGTATTGTTAAAACGTTTTATTTGAATAACGAATCGGAAGCTACAAGATTTCGGTCAAAATGATGTGCCCAGTGTGAACACCATTCGTCAGTTAGTGCGGAAACGAGAACAAGCAGGCGAAGTTAAAGACTTGCCAAGGTCGGGCCGTGTCCGAACTGTTCGTAATCCGGAAAATATCAAGAGAGTTCGTGAAAGTGTAGTGGAGCTCCCTGAGACGTCTCTCAAGAACTGGGTATTCGTCGCACGTCATTATGCACTATTTTCAAAAAACACTTGCGGCCATACAAAATTCAGTTAACGAGGAACTACAGCCTACAATATTATCATGCAATATTGCAGATTATTACCCAAAATGACGATTTTTACCGACAACGGATAATGAGCGATGAAGCCCACTTCGACATAAACGGATTTGATAATAAGCAGAATTGTAGTATCTGGGCATCCATCAACGACCACTACATTCTCGTCTAGATATTATTTTTCATACATAACTAAATTTCTAAGTTTCAATAAAAGACGAACAAAATGGACGTACTTTATTTCCTTCCACAAATATTCAAGATACAAACCAGTCAGTTACATATCGGTCAGCATGTATATTACAACGCAAGGTGCAGATTAAAACTACATCAACGTCTGTCGGCTACCTACCACTCCCTTCACTTATCGAAATTATGAAAAACATATTTTTATTTCAGTCTGGACTGTGACGATGATTTATCTTCTTGCACCAACGAGAAGACGGCGGAACTGGTGGATGACAATCTGACGGCGGCACAGAGAAATTTCTACCCGTGGATGAGGAGCTCCAACGGTAATTGAGATGTTTGCTCATCGTTATCTGCTCTTATACTCAAAAATACGTGGTAATAATTCTCGAGATGAAAGTAAATAAAAAAATAGCAATGGAAGTTCGTATAAACATAATATTCCATTAACAACATACAGAATGTTACCACTGATCAGTCTGGATAAGGACAAAACACGAGTGTTGTTCAAAGGCGCTAGGGCGTGATAGACTTACTGTACAAATAAACTACATACGATTTTCAATGCCAAGCTGTACTAACTAATATAGCTTTAGTTCGTCCGATCACAGACGGCAAACCATGGACAGCTGTTTCGTGTTATCTGGAAGCGTATCAGCATGGTCTAGACTTAGATCTCATTTAGAAAAACCAATAGAAGCTGAGCAACTATTCAGGATATAACGTCTATCGGAATAAGTGTCATCTTGTCTTATCTTAACTTAAGAGTATTTTCAAAGTAAAACGGGTTGAAATGTCTTATACGTATTTTGCCTCAAATATTCAAGTCAACTTTTTTCCAAGTAGCCTTACAAAAATTTCTCAAGAAGGCAAATAAATTGCTTATTCAAAATGCAGTAGATTATTCAAGAAAATCGGTGGTGTAGAGAATAATTTTCTTTCTTCGTCTTTGAGGGTCAAAATATCTCAAGTTCTATGCCACTAGTGCAGTCTTAGGCACAAGCATTTTTGTATGTAATGGCTATGCAGCTGGTACTACATGTACAGTATTTTACTTCAATATCTTGACACACTCCGCATATATCTTTTTTTTTTTCTATTTAGAAATTATAACTACCTCAGTAATGGAGAATTATCGCGAACCCATGTTTTGCAGGACTTTTCGTTATTCTTGGGCTTACTTTCTACCCCACAAAGGATACAGGCAAACTGTATATTCCTTTTTATCAATTCTTTCAACATTGATTTTGGCACCGAGAACCATACGTGAAACTATGTTTTTGACACCGGAATTATATGAGAAAATTTTACGTCCAGAGATGTCCTTGAAGATTCCAGCAGTCGATAATCAAAGGTTTACAGGAGAGCTGTACTTATTCAAAATGAACCAGATACAAACAAGACGCTGTATTATTGAACTTCTCCTGGTTAAGTCATGGTCGCTCTTCAGTTTTCATCGATTGCACCGTAAATATATTTGACCTTTGAAGACCATTTTCAAGATTAAATAAAAAAAAATTGTTTAAAAATAATGCAAGCAACAGGTAACAGGCAAAACATTTCCACCCCTTGTTAGAGGTAGTTTCCGATTCAGTGTAGAAAAATACCTAAGAATACCATACGTCAGCATCTGGCACCCGACACTAAGTTTTCATCCCTTTTAGGGGTAGTATTTGGTCCCTGGGATAAACTTTAGGGGTGAAGGCATCTTTTCGGTCGCAAATTCGGATTCAGCGTAGAAAAATATATAGGAATACCGTGCGGCAGCTTCTGACATCCTAAACTCAACTTTCACGCCTCTTAGAGGTAATTTTTGGGCTTGTGAGTGAATTCTTGATGCCTAGGAACTTTTCTAATCCCGAATTCGGCTTCAGCTTTGGCAAATGCATAGGAATAATGGTCTGTCTCATGGATCTCGACCTTTATTTTGTGAAAGTTTTACGGACTGTCAATTTTTTTGTAAAAGCAGTGTTCCATATTTTATTGTATATGCGGATAGACCTTTCCAAAGGATTCATATAACGTTTTGATGATTGGTTGTTGAGTTACAAGCGACTCAATGTACAAAAAAAGGCATACATTTGACAGATCGTCACTTTCACAGACAGTAATTTCAAATACCAGGGTTATGAAAGCATTCATAAGGAGCTTCAGAATGAGGTACCATATGACACACCACTCCCTTTGAAAAATATTTTTCAAGATGGCGCCTAATTGAACTGTTATTTTCACGCTAAGATATAATAGTCACCATGAATTAATTATATCACTCCAAATTTCAGCTTGCTAGCAAGGGTATGCCATTGACTTGCAAAGGACAACCTATTGCTATCCTATGTACCTATGACTAAAAATAGACTTCATTAAAGCTGGTCTAATTAGAAAAAATATTCGCAGCTTGTAATTTGATGGCCATCCGAGACTTCTCCATCAAGATAAAGATGCAAATGTGAAAAAACCAGAAGGCTCGATTGATGGGCAGTAATAGCAACGACAAGAATACAAGCTATAAAAGTCCCATAATGTAAATGGCTCAATTAGAATGGTTTTCTCTGATAGGTTGGCTATTAAACATAATGCGATGCCATCCTGCACGCACACCTTGTCATCGAAATTTATATTCGTACTCAACACCTGATGATTTTAACTAATAGTTCAGCCATCAGCTTACACTGAATTGGTAATTTTCCAGAAACGCGTTGGAGTATGAAGACATCAGTGTGCTTAGCTGTATTATCTGCAATGCAATACCTAATTAGTGTAATCCTATGGGCTTACCATAGGAAACAGCATGCCATTCCCGAGTTACTACTTTGGACACAAAACAAAAAGCTGTGGGATTACCTTCCATTAGGCTAGGCCAGCTGTAATGAGTTCTGCATTATAGCAGCCAATCACCAAACCAAACTTATTGTGGCTCATTTCCAAGTGGTCTACATTCCACGTCAGTATATTTTACTAAACGTGCAAGCATATTCAAATGTCAAATAGTTTCGAGATTTTAGACAAGTTCCTGGATTTAGGTATAAAATATCCCAAGTTGTACAGTTACATTACAATACACACTTAATTATAGCATTTATTGACGTTCCTAGCAGACAAGACAGCAAAGGGCAGTAAAAGAACACGTCAAACTTACACCAAATACCAAACACTGGAATTAGAAAAGGAGTTTCTTTACAACAAGTACCTTACTAGGAGAAGAAGGATAGAGATAGCACATACTCTATGCCTCACCGAACGACAAATCAAGATTTGGTTCCAGAATCGAAGAATGAAAGCCAAAAAGGTAAGTGACCTAAATACATAGTTTATGTTTTTTCTTGACATATCAGATTTCGAGTATATATACAGATAATAGAAATAGTAACGTTTAAAGAAATTACTCAGTGACCCGTATGTATGTGACCTTTAGTACTGATACATGAGTAATATGTATCACACACAGTACTAGATTTAAACTAGTTTATTCGTATTATGTAGTGCTTTGTGATTGAGTTATATATTTATTCCATATACCACTTCAGTTTTGAACTTCAATGTGTTAGTATTAATCTTTTCGATGCAGTCGACTGTATTCAAACAAAAGACCCCACAGGGACCTTAGCAGGAGCATCGTTTTTTTTTGGATTGGTAAGCTGTAGGACTCAAAAAAAAAACACAAGGGTCTGTGGGCCCAAAATTGTTGAAGATACTGAGGTTATTATTTAGACAGCCTTATTACAGCGTATAGTGGGCTCGGTACAGGATATGTAATAGCTGTTTGAAACTTATTTACGTTAAAATCATTATTCCTACTCGCCAATATAGCAACATTGCCCCGTTCCTGTGGGAATGCATTTTAAAAATAGTCATGATCATTCAAGGTATTTTAAAAATGACCTGGAAAACAAGTTGGTCTATTGAACTGACGAGTAGTTGTTGAGACAATTGTTGTACTTCGTCTAAAATAATGAAGGTATGGCAGCTAAAGTACTGAACTTTACCAAAGCTACCTTAAAGTTTTCAGTTGATACACAGTTTCTCCAGTCGTCGAATGATTGGGTATACAAAGTTCTCGCATAATTCGCTGTCTCTTTTAAAATGTTATACATATTACACAACCTTGTGTATTTTAACATTTTCAAATCCCAATTTTTCTAAATCGTTTTTAGTTATGCGACAAAATTAGAAGGTTACATTTAAAAATGCAGCTATTTTACTTTATTTATTGAAGTGGCCGATATACGGTATGACATGCTTTCATATACTTTGGACAAATATATAACGTCCAAAAACAGATAATTATTTAGCTTTCCATCAATCTGCAATAAAACCTAGTAACATCTATAAAAAATAAATTTGATATGCAGACCTGTATTTGGACACCCTATCCTGTGTAATATTGGAGATCCATGAGATATTCCCACAGTGGAGAGTATTCCTGCAAAGTTTTCGGAAAATATTGTTTCATCCATGCAAAGTTGGAACTCTCTGGATACGTGCTAGAGCGATGATGGTAAACTGGCTAGTAGAGACGATGATAAATATGTAAATGAATTTCAGAAAAGAAATATATCACGTACTGGACCCGCAATACGCTGTAACAGGGCACGGACGACCCAAATTGCATGCCCTGTATCTCAGAAACCAGTCGTGGATGAATTTCGGGCCCCCTAGGACACTTTTGTTCTACTATATTAATTTGAAAAGTAAATAGGGAAAAGTCATTATTCCCCATAACATTTCTGCAAAATTTTCTATAGGAATTTCTCGCGCCACTTCCTTAATTTTGACTTGAATTATTTTTCTCCAAAAGGGTGACAAAACGACACTAGTCGCCCAACCCATAGACTTTCCCAGCATCCAAGACATCAACATGAACCAAAACATGTACCCCACCATGAGCCCCGCAACTCCAGCCAGCTACTACTCGTGCGGGAGTTCGGAGGGGCTGCCGGAGACTTCAACAGTAGACACGAACAGAAACTCATTCGATGTCGAAGTTGCGCGGCCGTTGACAGCACTGAACAATATTCCAGGGCCTCCTATGTCACCGCCGCAGTGAGAGTCCTGGTGAGTTGGAGGATAATATTCAAAGAGCGCATATCAAAATTATTGATTGTATATAGTTTGAGAGTGTCTTTTCACCTGGGAGTATTACTATGCAGTCTAATTACTTTTTGAACCTTGACGTATAATACAGAGTTTTTGTGCAACAAAAATAACGAACCGTGAAGCGACAATGGACAACAAATGCCGATGAATGAACTTCTATGACCACTAAAGTTGAACCGTGGTAACTTGAGAGTACTGATTACTTACAGCCCTGACAGGTTGATTATCTTTTGTTTTATATATGACATAACGGCCAAATTTAAGAACCTTCAATTTTTTTACGAAAAGTTTCGGTAATATTTGTGTCCAACCAGGAGAAGTAATGCATATGTTTAAAATCGTAAAACCACAGAAGGACAAGTGACCACAAAACCTTGCCACAATGCATATATATCAAGAATCAAGACAATTCAATTCATTCCATATTTTAACCAGTTTATCCAGCTTTACAAATTCCGCCAATATGGAAAACCTTAGGAAATAATCCCTCCCCTAATCACCGTGACTGATGGAGCTTTATTGCGATAACGGATAACGGAGAATTCATCATCTTAACGAAGCAGCAATACCAGAGCACTAAAAACTCTCTAATAATCAAATTAATGAGATCGATCTCACGTGATCAAATGCAGTAACTTAGTATTAGCATTAAATACTTCATCCATTTGGTAATACTTTATATACAGAACAATGAAAAAAATAATTTGGCCTGTTATTTGGTTGATGTGTTATAGAATTCTTTCAAGCTGCTTGCATCTTAAAAAAATATCTTAACGTATTCAGTCCTCAAGTTACTGGTAGTATAATAAAAAATAGTGATACATAAATGAAAATTAACGTTAAATGTTGAGTGATGATTCTATACAGAGTATGAAATTCTGCACCTGAGAGCCAGACTAGGTTAAGTCGAAATATGTAGTTGTGAGATAGTATTTGAAATATTTTTCTTGCATTGTATTGTATGCGAATTGACATGAGTTAAAAAGTCGTAACGTCCATATTATTACAGATAGATGGATGCTGCATGAAATGAAATGAAAATTCACAATATTATCATAAGCTTAACGTATTAAAATCATTTTTGACAAAAATGGACTTAACCTAGTCTGGCTCTGGGGTACCGAATTATAAACGGGCTTCAGCGTCAGAAATGCTTTTATCTGCTTGTAACATAGCGTTCCGTAAACAACACAATGACAGCGTTGTCAACTTGAAATTATCAGTGATATCATACGTCAAGATATTTCCTTTTCAAGTAGTTTTTTCATTTTAAACTTCTGATAATATTTTATTTATAATTTCAATTAAAATGTGCTATGGCACATTTATAAATGGCAGTTTCCATTTTTCCCAAAACTAGTTGATTCTACGCACCACAATCGAGCGGGCAGTATTTTTCAAAATCCACTGGTGTTCCAGAAAGACGAGAAGATATTTCCAAAGACTTTTGACAGGAACCTGGAAGTATCTTGAATTTTTTACTTGATTATGTTGGTAGAAATACTCTTATGTCGACCGCTTCGCTGTATGTGTGAAAAAAATAAATAACACCAAAATGGCGCACTTCAGCCTTTACCCTTGTAGAAAGTTCACAGCGCTAAGTTTGAATTCAAGAAAAACGTTCCAAATATTTATTAATAGCGTGTTTGATTTTCCTATAAGGAAATCGAAAGTCCATAAACACATATTTCCCACTTCTTACAATCTTTTTGGTTTTTGTGAATCCAATGTGATGCCGCGACTTAAGGTATAAAAACATTATCGGTTGCCGAATAATTAATATACAGAGATCAATAAAACTATTTTAACTTAAAATAACTGTTTAAATAAAGCTGTGCCAGCTTTGCTCCGATTTTACTCACTGCACTCCCAGGTATCAATTAGTGCCAAACCTAGAAATAATATTACCCTAAGAATATTATAGATCCCTATTTTTTATATAACTTTTTAGTCACTAGTTACTAAGCCTACAAATAGAGAGTACTATTTATTTACCTAAATCCTATATTTCCCTACCATTTAAGAATAAATTTTGTAAATACCCTTTTGTGTCTCTTATTTGCCTACCTAGAAAAGTATCCAAGTGTTGCAACCCTTTCCCTCCCACTGTTTGCCAAGTTGAAAAGTGTTTTGACGTGAATACTTCATGCTGACAAGATTATGGTGCTTATTCTAACTAAATATGTATTGGTATAATGGGCTTAGAAAATTTGTCTATTGTGGATCTGGGTAATAAATTTTGCTAATTTGCTAGGTATAATGGTATTTGAATTTCATGGTTTGTTGCACCGGAGGCAGGTAGGTAGTTGTAGTACTAGGTGGGTGATTCAGGAAGATGAAACACCAAGACAACGAGCAAGAGGGTCGTGATGCGACGATTTTTACTGAATCGGTTTTCTATACTCACATGTCAAGTAGTTTGACCATAGAGTAGATATATTAAGAAAATACAGTCCGTGGAATGTTTATATAATTCGCCGGTATGCTCCATTGACCTTGGGTTTATAGTAGGGGAGCCGACTGCAAATTTTTGATTACGATATGGTGAACTGATGTGATAAAAACTAGTCAAGAACTCGAAAAGTTTGCTGTTTGACATTAAAATACGTAGCTTTTTACAGATCATATCAGTATGCAAAGCAATCAAAACGGTATGGCCTGTTTTTGGACTATTACTGACTGTCCCTAGTTTGACGATTCGCTCATAGATGACTCGACATTAAAAAGAACCGCGTGTTTTTCTCATAGGTGACCCTGTAGGCACCGAGGCGGTGTTGCCAAACTGATACACAATGTTTACAAAACGCTACATTTATACTGAGCTGAATGGAGTTCAGTTCTTTTCACATTTATTGGTGGTTACGTCAAAAAGTCATACGAAATAAGTAAACATATCGTCCTAAGGCCAGTCAAAAAAGCAATTTCAGGTTAGAAAGGAAGCTGAGTCGTGTAATATTCCGTAGACCCCAAAAGTTAAATAGCTATGTGGGTTTTGAGAATAATTTGTGTTTGCATAACGCATACAGCACTCGCGAAAACTATGATTTACATCTTTACAAAAATTTATTTCGTAAGCTGCAAACAGATGATAAATGTCCAACATCTCTCTCTAATTCATTCGCCTTGTCTAACTCTGTTGTCTTGTTTTACCATACACTAAAATGGTTAGATATTTGAACTACTCACTCAGACGTTCATTC